GAACTGGAAAACACTTATTCGGAGATTGTATTTCTTTTTCGTTCATGAAAATCAAAGTTCATTACACAAACATGCATTGCACAAGCATGTATGGAAATTCTTAATACATTTAGTAACTTAAATAATTTAGTAAATAAATCAGAAAATATTTTAATGTATAACAAAAAGTAGTAAGTTAGTAGTTAGCTTTTAGTTAAACTTTTATAAAACAGAGCATAATAACACAGTTACAAAGATATTTAATGTTATAAAGTTAGGTAATTTAGTAAATTTCAGTTGTTCATCAAAGCAATGAATTATGAAGTTCCTTGTGTATCTTTATAAATGAACTTTATTGCTGTTTTAAGCAACTTGAACAGCTGTTCAAGTTATTTTAATAATTTTGAAATATATACACTAAAAGAAACAATAAAATGTATTAATCTATTTGTCAAACTTGATTTTGGCACGAAAGTCTGCAGAATGCTTCGTAGTTTTTAAGCACATAGAGGCACTGCAATTCTTATTCCTTGATCTGAAGTTTTCTGCAATTTTTTTTTTTTTTTTTATTTAAATTGCTGTATTGGCACATACAATAATTTTTGTATAGTGGCTTCAGATGTGGATAAGTTTTTCAAACACTTTCGTTTATTTTACTGGCGTCGCTGAATTTTGCGATGAAATGCAGCACATTTATTGCCGAGTATCACCTTCCAGACTTTTCATACTGTTAATGTATACATCAGCAGTGAATTATTCTCCTCTTTCCTCAAATACACTACGGCGTTAAACAATAACCATTCACTAAAGATTTTGCGTAAATTTCCACTCATAATAATTTAAATTGCGAAAATCTCACAATTAGCACCTAAACACACTATTCAGGAGCACAATTCTTTCGAAAGCGCACCGTAGTAGTCAAAAGTGGGGTAGGCGTCTTGCCAAACTAGATATTCCGTGACGTCAAAAATTTGAAAAGGGGGTAGGGTTGGAAAGGGGTTTGCCTGCTGGGAAAAAAAAAAGTTCTTATATTTTTCATGGCATTATTGAAAGCTTATCTAGCTGGCTATTTGAGGTCCAGAATTCAAATCTCTGTGAGGGCATTGCAAATTTTTCATGTTTTCTGCTCGAAAATAAGCCCAATGATTCTACAACTTCACACAAAAGGGTTTTGGATCATAAGAGAAGCTAATCAACTGAAGTACAGAAATTTTTCATTTTCTCTTTATTAAACCACTGTCTAAAATTTAACTAAACTATAATCTAGTTAAATTTAGGGTAAAAATAAAAATTAGCTTAAACAAAATGGTCTGAGCATTTAGGAGTAAATAATCAGAGGTTCACAAGAAAAAATGTAATTACCTGTTATGAATAAAGTTTCTTTTAAAAGTTATTTCATTAACCTGTTCGTGATTTATTGCCAAGAGTGGACTTTAATATTGCATGTATTGTTTTATTTTCAGAGAATAACTGGTATTAAATATTTCAACAAGTAATTGAGTAAAGATTTACAAATCTACAATTTTTGTCAACCATATGTACTATAGAACTTTTTAAATATCTCAATTATTTTAAGTATGCTTTATGTATATATTTTATATTGCTAGATATGGTTTAGGAATAATCAATATGTTGGGTATTTAATTTGCAGTAGTAAATGTGGACTTTCCCTCTGTCGTCTTTTAGCAGATTTTTCTCAAAGGATATTGTTATATTGAACTGATCTACCATTTACACTACCATAGTCTCTATCTTTTAAGGAAGATTTTTTTATTGAGTTTTGATGGATGTTTTTAAATATTTTCTTCTGAAGAATGTCAATGTGTGGTCTGGCTCTCAAATGGAACTTTAACTCACCCCAGGTATGATCAACTAAATTATCTCAGTCAGGTTTGATTCAGCTGTTCAAATTCATTAACTTTCATTTTCTTAGATCTCTGGGTTTTGACTCATTTTATGGACAGGTGAATTGTAATCTTAATGTAAGAGCCAGTTCCAAATTGTTTTCATGAAACAGATAGTTTTGATTTATCCTCAGCATTCAAGGTTTGAAATGCAAAAACCAGTGGGCCATGACCAAACAAGAAAGATAGCCTTGCACTAAAACTTCTGCGTCAAATTTCATAGTGCTATTAAGCAGTTAATGTATGCTGTTACTTAATGCTCTCTTTGCATTGCTCAAGTCTAACACATAGCCATTGGGATGGCACAGTATGTAACATGATCCATCTCTGTGCATAATGGACATCATGCACTCTGTGCATGCATCATTGTTATTAATTCAAGATGCTACAAATTTTACACTGCTGTAATTGGCAGTGAGCACTCAGGCAAGAGATCATTAGCTTATATTCTGGATCACCTATGGAGATTAAGTACAAACACCTCTTGATGAATAGTGCATGTACTGGTATCACTTGAAAATGCCAATCAAAAGACTGTAGCTACTCTTTCTAATAGAGCTTGGTCATTAGACCTCACATTGAAGTCATCAACAGTTTCTCTGTGTCAAATTTTTGGTTCTCAGAATCTAGTTTACAAAATTTTGAACTTTGCTTTGGCTTATAAAAGGTAGGTACTGAAGATTTAAAACCCAAAGATTGGGATTTCTTAACTCCCTCATGCTTCCATTTCACCACAGCATTGCTCGCAGTTTCTGCAAACTTGCCAAAACTGCCTTGGATGGAATGACTGAAATGATAGTGATAATTTATGCTTTTTTCAGCCTCATTCAACTTTTCATATATCCATTTCAATAGCTATACTGGTATATATATATCAATCAAGTGCTCAGTTTTCTTACAGGTTCACATATGCATTAGTAATGTAAATTTTTCCTGTTATAGGGTATTCCATTATTAATGGCAATATATTATGCATTGCATGTTCAAAGGTATGTAAATTTCTGTAAATTAAAAATTTACACTGTTTAACCCTTTCGCGATGCACCTTTGTTTAAGATGCTCATTGGAAGGGAATTGAAGGCAATCACCGTACAGGATGGAGGTTTTGCATCATTAAGCCAAATTTTTTTTTTTAAAGTTTCACTTCTAGAATCGTAATTTTTGGTATCATTTTAGATTATTATTTGAGCTCTTATATGTGTTAAAATTAGCACTTAATAACCTTTTTTTTCTTTATTTTACATGAAAATATACTACAAAATTGCTTACCTTGGTAATAATTTTCGGAAGTGCTATTCAAATTATTCCAAAGTTTTAATTTGATAAATCCAACAATAAGTTTAAAAATTAATAAAACCACACATAAAGACTATTTACAGTAAGAAGTAACAAAACTTAAAATGAAGACTGAGTGTGGTAAATCTTGAAGCACGGAGAAATATCACTTTCTAACTCTTTAGAAAATTAATCATCACTCTTATCTGCGTTAGTAAATGGTTCATTAACAATACAAAGGTATTCTTCCTCTGATAAATAGTGCCTTCCCGCTGTAATGGACTGGAGGTGAGTTTTCCAAAATAAAAAGAGAAGAAATGGAAATATACCTGAAGACAATGCAAAACGTAACAGAACTCCACATAGTAACCCTAAAAGACTGTACATAGCAGAGGGAAAAAATATAATAAAAAAGGAATTGGATATAAATCAGACACGCAAATGTTTATATTAGCATGCAGCGATTAAAAGAGCCCACCTCTGTTTACACTTTCCCTCACAACGGTTGATGAGTAACATACCAAAGTCAGGCAGAATATATCAAACTCAAGGTTGGCAACTGAAACTGTGTTCATTTAAAAAATAATGGACATAGGATGTCATCTAATGGTCTTCAGAAAAACATTCCAGCTTAAAATGCGTATATGCATCACCCGTCCTCAGAATGCAATCTCTAGTGATATGTGGATGGGATGCCCGGTTGTAAGAGACATTCTTAGGGAATGCATATATGGGACGCCCATCCTGAAAGCGTTAAAATATGTATTTTTTTCACTAAGCTAGAAACCTCTTCATTTTGCAGCTTTTTGTACATTGAAAGTTTATTTTAAAAATAATAATTTTTGTTTTTATTTACCAAAAGTTAGGTGCATTTTTGCTCAGTAGCTTAGCATCTTCATATTATTGTAGGTTGCATGAATTTGATGAACAAGTGAGTGCCGTTCGTGAAGGTATGTCTAAAGTTGTTCCGGTTCCACTGTTATCACTCTTCACTGGTTCTGAGCTAGAAACTATGGTAATAAGCTTTATCTCGTTATTTATTTAGTTTTATATAAATGAGCTTTATTGTTTAAAAGTAGTTTATTCTGATTTTGAAATGTAAATACATATAGTTTTATGGCTTTATTTGCAAATTAAAGCTTGAAATTCGTAAAGAATTCTTAGATTCATCTTTTATTCATAAAAGTATTTTTGAAAGATCTACTTAGCAATTTAGTCTAATAGGCTAATTCAATGCATGGTCAAAATATTGATAAAGTTAATATATGTATTTTATTAAATTTTCTTGAAGAGCATATTTATAATATATAATCTCTTTAAAGGTTCAAGTTTATTATTTTCTAGCTAAGATCTGAAATGTTTAGTGTTACTTTATGGATAATTATAATTGCCATTGCACTGGATCAACACAAGAATATCTAGAGATCCTAGTCAGAAAAAATTCAGGTGCTTCTACATATTGCCTCTTTCTGTCTATACACTATGCCCACAAAAGTCCTTACTCACCCTTTATTTTTGCAACCATTCATCACAGACATCTGCTTCCAGTTACATAAATGTTTTAAATAATGCAGAGATTCATGTGTTGGCATTTTTTAGTTTGAAGAGGTAAATTTCATAAAAATTACAAAATATAAATTTTTACATACTGCTTCAGTCCCTTTACTTATATTTAGAAAAATATTGTAGTCTGTAGAAAATAAAATGCAAAAAGTCCGACTTCCATATGACAATTCACCCAGATATTTTATATAGAAATCAGGAATCATATTCAGGGGCCATACACAAATTAAAGAACAAAATATTTGTATTAAAATTTTATCAATCTTTTACGTGTTAAAATTTAATTCTGTAATAGGATAAGTGAAAATTCACTTACTTTCTAAGGGGATGCCCTGGAACATGCTCCTTTTCCTTTTCAATGTCCATTTAATCTAATCGATACTGAATTCCATTCACTGTCACACTCTAATATAATTTCTTTTAGAAATTTATTGTTATTCAGATCTCCAGTCTCTGGAATTTCTGTTAGAAACATTGCTGGGGTGAGAGCTCATAAGCCTTATGTCTTCTGACAAATAAGTGAGAGGATGCTTGTTCATGATGTTCTCGCAGTCACATATGATTGCCAACAACTCTATGTAATTCAGAGAAGATTTTCAGAGTACCTTTCAGAAAATTCTCTTTAGTACTCTGATTAACCTTTCCCACCACCCTCCCCACCATGGCGAGGAAGGGGAATAAACTTCTGTTCAATTTTCTTTTTTCTAAGATAGAATTCCTATTTATGGTCTTAAACAAATTATTTTATCCAACAAAACTAGGTACATTGTTGGAGCATATGGTGATGGGTCTACCCCTTCAAGCAATGGATTCCCTGAAACTTTCTGTTGAGAGAGAGGAGACCAACTCTGTTGCTCTATATATTGCGCAAGTAAAGATGATGATCCCATTTTTCTGACCTCTTTTTAAAATTAAGGGACTTGCCAGATCAACATCAATAATCTCAAAAATTAAGGCATCTCTTATTCTGTCTTCAATTAATGGCACTTGAGAAGTCTTACTTGAATCAGAGTCATACCTACAACATCACACACGTTTTTGGATAACTTTACTTGTTATCTTCCTACTCTTTATAATCTAATGTTTTTCACATAAAACACACATAACGAATTGTACTGCAGCATAGCATGACTTAGCCTTTCGTGTTCAGATTTCATTAATCCTAACACTAACAAATGATCTTAGAGAAGTAAAAGTTAGTAATGAAAGTCAGCATCATCATCTCTCTAAAAAATACTTGTCATCACTTTTTATAAGGCCATTGGAGTCCATGATAGGTTGTAGTGCACATATTATTTTATCTTTCCAATCATTCAAAACATTCTTGTGGATCAGTCGGAAAATCGTCTCAGCTCTTTTTCTCTTTCTTTGACTGAAGTTCTGCCATGAGTTCTTTCAGATGATTCTGTAGTTGCATTTTTAATGAACCTAGAGATCCAAGACAACTATTATGATCTTTCCAAAACTTGAAATATTGTCAAAAAGGTTAAATTTACCTGTATTCATGTTATTGCTAGCTGAAACCACAGTTCTTTTTCTCTCTCCATTTACTATGTCTAAGTCAGGATGTTCTCCATCTAAAATGGACCACTATTCAGGAGGTCGATAGATCCAATTTGGTCCTTTCCACAGTTCAGATTTTCTCAATTCCTTAGCACAGCAACTGCAAGATGGCAAATCTGTAGACTCTAACGTTCCAGTAAGGTGATGCCAGTGATCTGGATTACTCAATTTTCGAATCTCATTCACTTGATTGGCTACAAAAGTGGGGTAACTTTCTGCTTTTCCAAAAGAGGGCATTTGTGGAATCCATCCAGTAAAAAATTAGAACTTCTTTTAGTTTCAAGTCTTCTCTTGTATGGCATAATCTGGCTGGAATAGGTCTGACTAAATGCATGACTGATTGAAGCTGTGACACATAAGATTCAGAAGAAGATACAAAATTAGTAGTATTCAGCATATGTGAGGGTACTCTAAGTGTGGTACCATAAACAAGTTCCGCAGAAGTAGCATTTATATCTTTCTTAATGGCAGATCTAATACCCAACAGAACTACAGGCAGAATTTCAGTCCATTTTGGGTTGTTAGGAGCTATTATTGAACTTTTAAGTTGCCTATGAAATCTCTCAATCAGCCCATTGGACTGATGATAAGCAGTAGTTCTAATGCGATATGTACCCAAAATCTTCCCTAAATAAGTGAAGGGAAAAAAAGTTCCTATATAAGTGAGATTCAAAATTTCGGCCTTGATCAGTTGTTACAGATACTGGGCAGCCAAATGTAGTTATCCAGTTATGCACTAACACTTTGCAAGTCATCTGAGCTGACATGTCAGCAGTAGGTATAACTTCTGGCCATCTGGTAAACCTGTTAATAATTGTCATGCAATAATGGTTACCTGCAGATGGTGGAAAAGGACCTGTGAAATCAATATGGATATGTGCAAATCTTGCATCAGGCAAGGAAAAGGTACTCAAAGGTGTTTTCGTATACCTATGACTTTTAGAACATTAGCACTGTAGACAAGATTGAACTGCAGTTTTAATAAATTTCTTCATATTGGGCCAAAAATAGTGCTTAGTAATTAGTTTCGTTGAAGTTGAAATACCAGCATGAGAAAGACAGTGAATCTGCTGAAAAGTTTTAGAGCAAAAAAATTTGGGAATGAACGGGTAAGGTATACCTATGTCCATATTACAGTAAAGAGTAACATCTTCTAAAGGAAAGTAATGTTTCTCTAGTTTAAAAACTGGTGAAGATTGAGATAAAGAATTTTGTATTTCAGAGTCCTGAATTTGTGCTTCAGATTACTTTTTGTAATCAGTGTGCTGATTATCAGATATTGCATCTATTTCTGTCCTAGATAAGGCATCAGCTACGATATTGTTGCGATCTTTGATGTTGATGCAAAATTGTCCTATAAAATCAAGATGACGAACTTGTTGTGGAGAACACTTTTTGGACTTCTGCTTAAAAGCATATATTAAGGGCTTTTGGTCAGTGTAGATTGTAAAGGCCCTGCCTTCAAGCATGTGCCGAAACTTCCTAATAGAAAAATGAATAGCCAATAGTTATTGATCATAAGTTGACCATTTCCTTTAACTTTTGCTGAGTTTAACAGATAAAATGTAATAAGTTCCCAAACTGAATTATGCAATTGCATTAATGAGCTACCAACTGCAGTGTCCGATGCATCAGTACAAAGTTTCAAGGTTGCACCAGGAATTGGGTGTTTGAGAAGAGTTGCCTCAGCAATTGCCTTTTTTGTGTTGGCGAATGCTTTTTCAGCTTTGTTGTTCCATTCAAGAGGGTATTCTTTTGCTTTGCTCAGTTGTGAAGGTTTCCTTTTATTAATGAGGCCTTCCAATAACCTATTCAAGGGAGCTAAAACACGTGAAGCTCTTGGGACAAAACGTCTGTAAAAATTAAATATGCCGGGAAATTTCCTTGACTGAGGGTGTTTGGTTTAGGAAATTTTTGAATGGTGTCTACTCTGTTGGGTAAAGGTTTTAAACCTTGTTCAGATACATGAAAACCCCCAAACTCCAAAGATTTTAAACCAAAATTACATTTAGATACATTAATTCTTAGCCCATAATTACTTAATCTTCCAAAAAGAGCTTTCAAGTGTATCAAATGCTCAGTTTCATCCTTTGACGCAAATATTATATCGTCAACAAAAGCAAATACTCCTGGCAGCTCACAAGTTATTTCATCAATAAAGCGTTGAAAGATTTCAGCTGCATGTATAATATCCAAACTGCATTCTTGTGCTCTCAAAAAGTCCTAAAGGAGTGGCAATAGCCCTTTAATGGATATCAGAGGGATTAATTGGTACTTGATGATAGGCTTTAGCCAAGTCTAACCGAGAAAATACTTTGCTCCATGCAACGCTGCTGCAAAATCAAATGTTGGGAATAGGATACTTATCTTTCACTGTCTGAGCGTTTAACCTCTGAAAATCTCCCACAGGTCTCCATTCGTTTGTGCCTTTTTTTGACACTTTGTGAAGAGAAAAGGAGTAATTACTTTTGGAGGGTCACATGTAACCTAAATTGATAATTTTTTTTAATTTCATGCTTAGAAATTTTTAATCTATCTGGAGCTAGACTCCTGGGCTTACAGGAAACAGGAAAACCAATAGTTTCAATGAAATGCATAGTATTATGCTTAACAGTCTTATTAAGATCAGGAAGCTTTGACTGTGAAGGATAGTTAGACAGTAATTTATCATAAACACAATTTGTTATAATTGTTTTAACAGAATATAAATGCATCTTAATTACACTGCAATTAATTTTTAAATTTAATTTTCAAACATTGATTCGCACATAGCAAAGCACAGTGCCGGGTCAATAGGATTGTAAACTGATATTCTAACAGCAGCAGACACCTCCATGACAATAGGACCACCAGCGGCCGAGCGGTAAAGTCGCTGAACACTGGTAGTTC